CTGGACTTAAAAGTTTGTATCTGGACTTAATAGTTGTTTTACTTATATACTGTAAAAGCTTACATGCTGCATTTTCCTGAAAATAAGACCAGTCCCGATCAGCCTGTCCTTGCCTTGCCTGCCACCGCGGGGTATCCAGAGCCAGAGAATAGTGAGGCACAACCTACTGTGTGACGCGGCCCATCACTATGGGAATGACCAGCTGGGGCTGGATCTGGTTAGTTCATTCCAGTTAGGTCTCATTTTCAGGAAAACACGGTAGGCAGGAAAAATGAGTTAGTACTCATCTTTCCAATTCTAATCCAAATACCACAGGAAAAAACTATAATTTTAATTATTATTCCAAACACACAGGCTTACAGCCATTAAATTCTTCATGCTATAAAACAGGAGCTAGAAGATACTGAAATGACACAATGCCAATCATTTACCTGTCCGCCTTCTAACTACTTACTAGACACTTTCTGTGTGTGGCTATAAGAATTGAACTTAAAATGATTTTTTCCATACTCTCAAGCAGCACAATTCCTTAGGAAGGACAGAAGGGGGAAAAAACCTGTTATGCAGTTTAAATTCTTTATCCCAGGTATGCACAATATTCTGTGGAACTAGAAAAAGGGACCTACAGTCAGCCTGAGTAAATTGGATTCTTTCAGAGAAGAAAACAAATATATGCTGCTCATACACTGAAGAGTTCTTAGACTTTGTGTTTGCAAAAAACAGAGCACTTTGCTTCTGAGAAAAAAACAGTCTTAAGGAAAGCTCTGATTTACCTGCAAGAGCTCTCAGCCTTGAGTTAATCAAAATACTGCTCAGCCATGAGAATACCTATGCAAATGAGCTCTCCGGACCAAAAGTTATGTTTCACTTCTGTTAGGTTCTTCCCAATGACTATAAAGAATGAAGATAATGTTAGACTCTCATATTTCTCATTATCTCACTATGGATTTTTTCTTTCTTCTTTACAAATTAGGTAAACTGGCTTATGTGTCATTATATTGATTGCCATTCTTAGGTAGCAGTTTATATACATCAATTTTCTTACCTAAACTTACACAGTTTGAGGGAAAATAAAAGATTTGTGGGAATATTGGGGTAATATATCTAGAAAGAAAATGTGAAGAAAAAATAAAATTCAAGGGATAAAATTATTAAAATATTATTTTATTACTTTTGTCCTAAGCATAAAACATTTTCATCAACATTTGTCTATTAGCAACCTTTCCGTGGTGCTGGTTGTCCAGGACCCCTGCAGTGACTTCTCCATCTCTTGCCACCTATTATGGTGCAGGATGGGAAGCAAGCAAGACAGGGTGCAGCAGGCGTCTGGGACGAGCAGTTGTTCTTGGGGAACAAAAGGCCAGGAGGTACCCACCACCTCGGTATTTGTTCGAGGAAAATGGTGAGGGGGTTGCAACTGGCTGTGGTAGACAAGTGGAGAGGCTGGCAGGATTGTAACCCAGAGAACAAAGCATTCTTGCGGAAGGGACAGGAACAGCCAGATTTAGGTTGCCCTTAAACGAGTGACCTGCTTTGTAGCCAATTCTGGGCAGGAATTTTCCTCTGGAGTGATGCAGGCCTCAGCGGAGACAGTATCTCATATCTGAGCCCCATGGTATCACAGCTCATGTATCTGAGCTCAACCATAGCCGCTGATAATAAACTACATCAGTTCATTATCATGAAAATGCTTTCATGAAGATGTGTCCAGTGCCTCAGCCAGACTCACAAAATTGAAAGCCAGTTTAGGGAAGTCAGCTGTACAGCCTGTGCTGCTGGTAAGTACAGTGTCACACTTGGGCCTGGGGAAGGAGAGTGATTGGGTAGTGCTGCACATTGCCTTTTCAAAATAAGGTGGATATGACCATCAGTCATAGTACGTCAATGTGAGTGGACCAAGAATTACTAGCACATTTGTAATGTACAGTTCTGAGTATGTGGCTGCCGTCAACCAAAAAGGCTTATAGCCTGGATGGTATAAAAACAGAAAGCGTGCTCCTTTTCAAAGAGCTCTCATCTGTACCATCATCTTGAGTATGAGTTTCCAGTTTCTTTAGTTTTTCAATGCAGGGTAGCACAGCTGACTATGTTGAGCTCCCAGGCCTTTGAGCTTGGACTCGTGTCGCATCCTTCATCACTCTGCTCGCCACTTCCATCTTCTTGGGCTGAACTACTACTGCATCTTCCAGCTCGCCAGAACACAGATGGTCCTTGGGGATTTTTGTTTTTATACTGCGGATCGAACCTTTCATCCTAAGTAGACCACTGTGAACTTCCCTGCGTCTGATCTTAGATCTACCTAATAAACTGCCTTATGTAATTCTATATATTTTTTTCTATTGATTGTTCCTCTAGAGAAATCCAAGAGTGGACTATCTTCTGATTCGACTAGTTTCCTCCTCTTCTAAAGTTGGTACTCTAATATGTTTGACAGTTTCTAAAGGGTTGCACAGTGAATTTTTTTTTTTTGTGTGTGTGTCTTGTTTTTATCGGTATCAGGGATGGAACTCACGACTACCTGCTTACAAGGCAGGCACTTATGCCACTGAGCTAAATCCCCAGCCCTAAAGGGTTGCACAGTATGATGCCTCACTCATATCACCAGTGCCATGGGCAGATCTTATGTGCACTGTCATGGCTGCACCTATGCAAAGGCCCCAGCACAGCTGGTACAGTCGTATCAAGACATTCGTGGACTCACTCTTGCTCATTCCAGGAGTACAATTAAATGTGACTAAATTAACTAACTTTTAATGAGGGGCTTTTCTCATGAGAAATAATAATGCTGAATGTTAATGAGGATACTGAAATTTTTTGAACACTAAAAATTTGGTGATTTACGGTAACTGTAAAGCTGAGGCAAGAGAAGTTTAGGTTCCTCGGTTCCTCCAGGCACAGAAGTTTTACTATCCCAGACAGGTGGACCAAAGCAAAGGGGACAACTTGTATCAGTAGTACAGGGGTGACAGCAGCAGCACCCACAGAAAGCATGGGCCACATACATAGGATTACACAGCAGGGCTAAGAATGAGCTTCCGGGAGGGAGTTTCTGAGACAGGCAATGATCAGTGAAAAGCTCTTTGAACATGAGAATTTTTAATTACTTTATTAAACACTGTATTCAAAGCAAAGCTTTGCCTGTCATCACCACCATGATATAATATGTGTATGTAATACCCAAAATACCCATTGAATACGCTGAAGGATGTACAAACATGTTTGGGAGTCTATGCAACATTAAATAAAATTTGATATAAAAACCAACTAATCAGAAGCATGAAAGCAGCATGTTTTTAATAAGAGCCTAGTGTTGACTCTGGAATAATCGTCGCATGCATGTCCCTAGTCATGTTGGACTTCTCCTTCAGTTTGGACTGCAGCAATGTGTGCTCTACAACACCGATTCTAATGTCCATCTGAATGATTTCTTGCTTCAGCTTTGTTAAGCTCTGCTTAATCTTCACCAAAGGAGCTGCAAAACAAAAACAGCATGGAATGAAAAAAATGTTTGTTATCATAGAACTGTATGATATTTTCCTCACTTTGTCTTAAGCCAAAAACAAGGTTGAAATCGCAGTCAGTAATGCACAGACATTCACAAAGTGTTCTTGTAGCATTTTAAACACCTGACACTTTTTAGGATGGGAGATGATGCACTGAAGCTGAACTTACTAACGCTTCTAGGGGAAGAGTTGCTAAATGGTATTTAAGGATGCGTTCAGCATCATTTTATGGGCAAGAATATTTGGCTGCAGAAAAATGGACACAGTGGGGGAAAGGGGAAGAAAGAATTACCAATTAGAATATAAAAAAAGCACCTAAATATTTCTTTATGAAAATCAATTAGTACATATCAGAACTCTAGAAGCTCTTTCTGGGATACATAAAAGCATTAAGCAATCTCTACCAGCCCATGACAAAATAACTAGCTCATAATGGAGGACAATTATTATAAGATTATTAATTCCTCTTTACTTGACCTCTGCCCAATTAGGTCTTCTGGGAAGGAGTTAAAAAAAATTTAAAAAAGGTCATCACATCATTGCCTTAATGTCATTTAGTCATACTTAGTGCCCTTTTGTACATAAAGTGGAAAAAAAAGAAGCTCATTTGAACATGAAATGTTATTTTTTTAAATTGGCAGAACAAAGTACATACTTAACTACTTCTCAGGCTACCTTTGAATCAATAGTTTGAATTTTTTAAGTCTTATAAATTATAGTGAAAAACTTCTACTCTGAGCTGATTTATAGGAAACACGGCATATCAGTTATCACATATCACTTCTGTACTGTGCATCCCTCTTGAAACAAGCAGCAAATAGATCACTGTAAAAAGCCAGCTCTCCACTTACTAGTAACAGTGCTTCCTCCAGCTGGCCCCCTGCAGAGCTAATGTTCTCCCGCTCACTTTTCTCCTAAGAGTATGTACTTACCACCATCAGTCATGCTGCTGCCTTTTTCTTCCATTTCTTGTTTCACCTTTTCTAATTCTTCTGTAACCTTCCATTGAAAACATGTTTCATGGTAAGTTCTGAGTTTTAATAAACTTTCAAAGATTTTGAATGACATATCAAGAAGAATTAATTTAGTTATCAAAGGGAAATAAAAACATTAGGAATATTCTGGACATAATTCCAACAGGATAAAGCATATAAATACACAAAGATTTTCATCTTCTGAGAATGCTCATTATGCTTAACTTCACCAAATTACTTTCACATTAGCTTTATCATGTTGTAAAACCATGTTGCTTTAGGTACTCAAATTCTGAAGTATTCAAACTCTGCAATCATCTCACAGCATCTACCATTTCATTGTTTAAACAATTAGTTATTAATTAAAATAGTATAAGTAACCTAAAAGATTGGTATTTCTAAAGGTTTTCTAGGTATGTTTCTTACTATTATGCCACCTTTTTCTTTCTAGGACATATAAAAATGTTTATAACATATGGTTACACATATGGTTTTATTGTTCTACTCAAACCATGAACTCCAGACTCTAAGAGGCATATTACATAGTCATTTGGGTTCTCAAGTATACTTTAGGTTAAAGTTATATTACTGCAGATTCTATTAGCAAAATTCTACAGTAGCACTGTATTATTACAGACAGAAAAATAATCTTTAAAAGTGGAAAAAATGACATAATCCAGGAGTAGGCCATAATTATTATAACTTAGTAGGTTTTAGTTTTATCATACTGGTAAGTAAGACCTTTCCTGGAAATAAGGTGTTCATCCAAGTAAAGCAAATTAATTTCTTTCAGGCACCTGAAACATTACAACTGGGAATAACTATCTACTCCAAGAGAACTAAATGGATCCCTGGACTCCCTTCAAGTGCTAATTTACCTAATGTGAGTGAGCACTTTACTACTACATAATGCTTTATTTGCCTGGAAGCATCACAGGATTAGAGTCTAAATATTTCTAATATTATACGTTGAGTATTTTAAGATAACTATTCCTGAAATAATCTCCATAAAGGAAGCTTAATTCTTCATTATCAAAACAGCAAAGTTTGTGAAAATTACAAAGATAATCTTGGATTTTAGTTCCAAATTGGCTTGTAACCATTCTATAAAGTTTTTATTTTTCTCTGTCTGCCCTTTGGGGGAAAAAAAGGCTAACTCTGAGGTTTTACCGAGCTTGCAAGATCATGGAAATACATGTAATAACTTGTATGTGCAAATATTCTAGCAGCTCTCAGAATTGAGGTTATGAGACACTTCTAATTGTAGAGTGATATATCCAGGTCCACCTACAAGTTATCAGCAATAATCACTGAAAGTAAATTTTAAATCTTGCATACTAACATTAAACTTTGCTGTAGACTCCCTAGTCAGTGCTTTATCTACTCTTCTAAATATTAATTATAATTATAGAAAAATAAGGATTACAAATACTATCTATGTGCTAATAATGATCAAGTTTGATGTTGAATTTAACATAATAACTTCAGGCATCTTATGGAAACAAGAAGAGGATAATCAACTCATTGATAAGAAATTAGAGATTTTGATTTGAAGCTAGAGGAAGCAATTATTGCAATAAACATTCAATCATCCATGGCTATGAATGGATGGGGCCCCGCTGAAAGATGAGGGGCACGACAAGGGCACTGGTGTGTACCTCAGCCAGGAGCCTGGTCCTCTCCGTGACCCCACCATTTCCCTGTTGGTACCGTTCTCTTGCCTGAGAGGGAAAACACTTTGTTTAAAGACAAATCTAAAACAGAAGCAAATTACTTAAAATGATCTCTTTGTGTTTGCTATTTCTACGTATCATTTTATGACAACTCCCTTTCTTGTTTGTGAATTCACTTGTGAAAGTGACATTTAACTGTAGCTATTTTATCCCTTTTAGCGCCATGTGTTTAAACTAAAGCACTATAAAACCTTCACTTACTGGCTGCGTAACTCTCATGGCCATCATTCACAACAATAACTGTCCTCAGCCATCCCTAAACAGTTTAGGAGAATCGTTGGTCAACCTAATTTGCATGCTACAGAGAAAAAATTACTTCTAAAAAAATCAAAGTAGAGCATCAGATTCAGCAATTAAGGATTAACAAAGAGTATGACAGTACAATCAAACAGAATATGTTCTTGGGTACTAATCCAATAATTGAGTGTTTGATATTAATGTTAATATTTCATTATGGCTTTAGTCAGGGAATTTTACAACATCATTTTAAAAGTAAAACTATTTATGAATAGATGTTTATATAAGAGAATAGTACATTAAACAGATGACAGAAAAGTAAAAGCTACTTTCTATCTGGGCTTTGAGAATTTCTGAAAGTATAGAAGCCTCTCAAATTTATTTCCCCTTTTTCTTCCTTCTAAGTTTGTGTGCTGAAAGAAAAAGATACATACCTGCCACTGACATTTGGAAGTATTTTGAACTAGTCTTCCTTAACACCAGGACATAGGGAGCGTAAATCTTTAAGGAAAGCCCTTAGATCCCTGCTGCTAGGACAGAGAACTGCTGCTTTCCAGGGCTAGTAACGGCTGTTGCCCAAATGCTAAAACTTTGAAAGAATGAAAAATTTATCTCATTTCCTTAGTTAAACTGCCTGTCTCTGCACCTGCCTTGTTTTCATTTTGCTTATTATGTGCTGTAAGCAACTGTGGCAAGCACTGTCTTTTCCTTTTGACACACGTAAGAGCACACCTTTCTTACTCCTACTCCTACAGTATATTAACAACCAGACTTGGAACAAAATGATGTGTCCTGATATCTGTTCCCATTCTAAGTCATGTTCTCCAGCAATGTATACCGTATTTATTTAAACCACAGATGTTTAAAGGCTGTTAGAGGATATCTACTACATAGAAAATGGGGTAAGCCCTCATTTCTAACTTGATTTCCTAAACTGGGCAGAGAATCAATGAGTTGCCGTTTGTGAAAAGCATTTACAACTCACCAATACAGTCTTTTGAGTTTAGGGATTAGAGTCAGGCCCTGGAGTGGATCCTCAAAACCGTTCCCACCTTACCTCACTCAGCTGGGCTTGGGCTGCACGGTGCTCCTGAATCAAGTGCTCAAGCTGATTGTTGATGTACTTTTCTCGGCTGCCAATCTTCTCCAAAGTTCTACTAATTTCATTTTGGAGTTTGTCCAAATATCCCTAGAAATTCCATGGGATTTTAGTAGATAATTCATGACTATATTTTTCAAAAATAGTTAAAAATGAGTTAATATTTTTCAATCATTCCCACAAATGATGTACCACATGAAAAGACAATTTCAAATTTTACTAACAAAAAGAATTTACATTGAGAAATATTTTAATCATACTTTGTGGAATGTTAAAATAAAAGAAGACCTGATAGGTCAGTTAACTCATTTGTCTTTATGCATTTATAATTTATGTGACTATAATTAACTATATAAATTTCTAAATCAAAGTAGGTAAGGGAATAAAATGACTTCTTCACAATTCAAGATAAATGCAATATTCTTGTTAGAAGTAGATCCCTAAGCCAGGAGTTGTAGCCTGAGACCAATATCTTCTCAGTCAAACTTTGATTTTTTTGTGGCATCACTTCTGCCACAGCAGAGTCTGAGAAAAGGTTCTAGGCGTTGTTGGCCTGGTGTTCTCTCATCCCTTTAAATTCAAAAGTAATGAAATGTTTCTAAAATCTCTATTAAATATATGCATAATATATGCTTTAAAAAGAATCATTTAGCTCTCTTTAGCAGTTGGTTTAAGTAGTAGGTGTGTGAAATGCAATATAGTGTCCTCCACAGGCTCCTGAAAGGCAAGGACTGTATCATGTTTTCCTTTAGTCTTCCATAGTGGGTGTTCCACAGATGAATACATCTCTTTATGCATTTTTTGTTTGTGGTACTGGAAATCGAATTTAGGACCTCGCACTTGGCAGGGAGGCGCTGTGCCACTGAGTTATATCCCTGGCCTGAATGTATCTATTTAATATGTCATCCTAAATTGTTCACATACCTTGGTTTCTTTTAGAGCAGATTCAATTCCACTTTTGTGCTGATGCATCTGGTCAACATGGATTCTCCAATCCTGTTGGCATAAGCACACACAGGAGCAAGGTAAAAAATACTACATTTCCTTCCTTGCTCAATTTCTTGTGTCTCCCATTGTTGTTCTATTTCAGGTGATAGAGTCCTATATATAGCTTGCAATCAGATTACAAAGAAATATGTGCATAGCACTTTAGGATAAAAGGTCTACATCAATGTAAATTATTTTATGTGTTCATGGAGTAATGTGTGATAATTTGAATATAAACTGCTCCTGTTTTGCTGGTGGTTAATATTTATGACTACCTATCAAAATGAAAAAAATTCTAATTGCTAGAAAGAAATACTTATTTAAGCAGTAACAATTATGTTTGCCAGAATCAACTTTCAACTCTGTATTCTTGACTCAAATATCATATGGCAATGATTAGTTTGTCCCTTGGAAATTAAAATGGAGCTTTGTGTTTAAGTCTTTTCTTAAAAAAAAAAAAAGGAAAGTTACAATGATTACTGGATTTCATATGCTCTGAAATAATTGTCTACTACTTTTAGATGGACTTGAAATCTGTATCAGTATTTTAATTCTTTGCAAGATGTTTAAAATTTGTAGTCATTTTTATGTAGCTACAAGTAAAAACTTTTAAAGATATACCCATCATAAGAGAAATATTATGGGAAATTGAAATAACAGAGAATTTTTCAGTCACACATATCTGCTTGCATACCTTGATGGTTCGCTTTGCTATCTACACAATTTTATGAAGAGAAAAAAATTTTAATAGTTCCATTGTACCTATGTCTTAATAGTTTTTTTTGAAGCAGTAATGACATGATAAAAATATTGTGACATTCAAACATTAATTATAAAATTATAATACACTGAAGCTACAAAGAATCTCAAAAGCATATGGCACCAACCTTGTTATTTCACAGAAAAGCAAACAAACAGAAGGAGGCACACCTGAGAGCATGCAGCTAGCGCTGTATGTGAAGTCAAATGTACAAATTCCCGCACAGCACACACTGTCAGCTCAGTGTCACGGGAAGGGCAACTGGCTACCTGATGTTAGTGAGGGTGCTAGAGTGGCGAAGACATCAGCACTTTCCTTTATCCTTAACTACTTTTTTTTTTCTCACACAAGAAAAAGTATCTCAGAATCTAAGAGCTAGAAAGGATCTTAGAGATCACAGCTCACCTAACAATCATTTAGTGCAACGTTTTTATTTTACAGTTGACAAGATGTTCACCACTTGTGACTATGACCAGACAGCTTTGGCAAAGCAAAAAGGCCCTTCCAGTTCATCCAAACAATGCTGGAAAATACGGAGGAATAACTGGTTGGCCTTCTACAATTGGACCAAATATGGACAGGTAAGCCTCTTTATGAGAGAAAATAAACCTAATGAGTACCATTAATTTTTCTTTTCAAAAAGTACTCATCTCATCAGGTTCCACAAAGGATTTGAGAGGGTTCATTGAACAGCAAGCTCAAGTATTTGTGCTTTCTCTCTCTTCCTATCAACCTGTTTCTGTCTTTGCCTCTCTCTCCACACACACATACAGAGATATACACTTGTACATAGATACACACTCATATGTAGTTCATATATTATGGTGGATGTTGCAGAGGACCACTGGAATGGCTCTCCTTTAATAGAGAGCATCTACCTCCGCCTTAGCTAAACTTGGCCTTATCTCCATGTACTGATATACACAGAATTGGCTAAGCTATTTCCGTTTCCCTTCAATTTGCTCTAAGCAATGTAAATAGGGCTGGCTGAGGTACTGATGTGTAAGCTTTGAAGCTCAAGCTACAGTGCTGTTTCCTTGTCTAGGCCTCCCTTTCTAAAACATTGAGCATGGTGGGATGGCAGAGCAAATGTTCCAGGAAAGTCAGTTGGGTTCAAGCATCAAGATAAGAGCCTATGACTTCCCAAGGCAGAAAAAGCACATCAGAACTAAAGCACCTGCCTCCCAAACATTAATTGCTACCTTTTTGCATACCATTCTCTTTACGTATTGCAGAGGTGCTTTCTGGCCACCTAGTTAGCTCAGCACACATTACTTACATAATTCCTGCCACTCTCACCATCAGTCATCCTTGAGCTACTCCCTTCTTCACAAATTAATGAGTTCTAGACTAGGTCTTGGGTCAAGGCTTTTGTTTCATGACCCCTCATCTGGACTGGACTCAGGACCCCTTGGCTGCTCATAGCTGTAAATATGTCTTCTAGTCTCACCATGGGTTGACTGGAGGTGGTAGACTGCAATTAACTTGTTGGGATTCCAATAATGTTTTCATGAGGTTACAAACATAAACTTCCCAGACTGTGAGGACAAAAAAAAAGCTCCAGAGATGTGTTCAGTTTGTGATCTCTTTTATCTACCAGGATTATATATAAATGTATTTTTACAGGTACTGATATTCAAAACATTCCGATAAAAGTATCCATGTCTCACTCATCTACATGTAACTATGCTACTCTGACATAAATTTCTATTGAGGAGCTAGAAGTTTTAGAGCAACTTGACGCATAAATAGCATTTCAACAGGACAGAAAAGAGGAGAAGTAATGTGTTGTAGGCTGACGAAGTAACACAAACAAGGAAAATACTACAAAACATATAGTTTAAATTCACTAAAATAGGGGTGCAGCATAAAAAATGCATCATGAAGAAAAAAAACTGGAGAGGCAGTTTAAATTAGGTCAACTAGTTGTCTACAAAAACTGAGGACTGTGGCTTTTATGATATGGAAAATGGAGCACTGTACCTGTGTGGATCTGGAATGGTCTCCAAGGGTTCATGTGTGGAAGGTGCTCAGTCCTCAGCACAGCAGTGCTCAGACGTAATGGGTCATAATGGGCTCAAACCTCATCAAGGGTTTAAATCACTGACTGGCTCATAATCTGATGGTCTCCTGGGAGCTGATGGACGTTAGGAGGCGGGACCTAGCTAAATGGGTGTGTCTTTGGGGGCTTACCAGGTACTGTGTCAGAGTTCCAGGTCCCTGCCTGCCTCTTTTCTGTTTCTTGGCTGCAATGAGATGAGCAGCTTTCCTTGCCAGGGCTTTCTGCCGAATTTCTGCCTTGCCACAGTCTGAAAAGCACTGTAGCCAGCCAACCATGGTCTGAAACCATGAGCTAAAAGGAATCTTTCTTCCTTTAATTTTCTCAAGTATTTTGTCACTGTGACAGAAAGTTGACCCGTACCACCATTATTGATACTTTTGAGTTTGAGAGTCAAGTCTGTGTTTTGAGAAAGTAACAGAGAAGAAATTACTAGATGAGCAAGAGACTGAAGACAGAACAGTAGTTAGGAAGTTGTGTCACTGTGTCATACTTCCCACTGATGAACAGGGGCTGAACTAATACATTGCTTCTAAGAATGGAAGGGAGGGCACGTATTCAGGATTATAGAGGCAAAAATAATAGGATACGAAGACTAATAGGATACTAAGTGTGAGGATAGAGTATAGGAAGTAGAGGTGGAAAGCAGAGAGACTGAAACATATCTGGCCCGAGGAAGAGAGGAGTTAACACTGCAGTGTGATGAGAACAGGACAGATTTTAGGGAAACCAGAAATACTGAAGAATTTGGTTTTGAACTTGTTAGGTTTGATAAGCCATTGGCAAATTCTTACAGCCCATTAGCTAGTAGTGACATAATTAGCTGACAGCAAATCTGAATATCTATTACAGTAAAATGTTCTAGATGGACATGTGTCTTAATGTGCAGTTATTAAAAATGTATTCTTAAAAGTATTCTTATTCATTAAACCAACAATCTTGCCTCTTGAAGTTATTCACTTATGTAATAGTTTAGATTTAAAATGTTTCCCAAAAAGCTTATATTTGGAGGCAGAGGTTGGTCAAGAGGGCTGGGACTGGAGGCACAAGAGTGTAAAACTATAAATTTTTCACTTGAGAAGAGAGTCCTTGGGACTTCTCTTTATTTTGAACTGCTCAGGGAAGTATGTCTCTGAGTTCAGCCATTCAGGCACCTAGAAGCTGCAGCATTCATGGTGCAAGGGGACCTGCTGATTGCTTAAACTGGAAGACAACTTCAGCATGATTCACATGATGCTAGTTTTTCAGGTACATGAAATGTAAGTTAGGAGGTAACTGGGGCTTCCTTCCAGATTTCAAAAGAAGGCCTTAAACATCTGGAGAAAATGTATAGCAGGGTCACAGACCCTGCCAGAAATTCAGGCAGCACCTGGAGCTGAGAGTTGAGATGAAAGTGCAGTGGAGAGGTCAGAAAGTTAGAGATGTCAGGAACATGGAACGCGTGCTGAGGAAAGCTGCAGACAATGACCACAGTCAACCCAAGACAGACACTATGTGGGCAACTAATGTTATATAGGTGGGGCTCTCCAAGCCCTTCGGAGCTCATGTCTCACCACGACCAACCTGACCTGGTTGGTGGACATGGAGCTATTGTATTTAATGTTTTCTTTGCTGGATTTTGGTCTTGCTTTGGTCTGATTTCTGTCTATTCTCCTATTCCTTCCTTTTATAATGGGAATTTTTATCGTGTTCCATTATATGTTAAAATGTTTAACTTTATTTTTATTTTTATAGGGACTCATAGCCAACAGTTTTTCTTGAGTCTCAGAAGAGACTTTGGAATTGAACTCTTCAGCAACATTAGAACAGTTAAGACTTTGGTAAATCTTAGAGATGGACTAAATGTATTTTGCATAATGAGATAGATATGGACCTTCTGGGGCCCACATGCAGAATGTCATGGCTTAGCTCTGCAATGTCTCCCCCTCACTATCTCACACATTCAGAGATACGATCTAGTCAGAAGGGGTGGACCACACGTGCTGTAACTAGGAATGGTGTATTCTGGTCTGCAGCTCCTCCTTATCTCTCTGCTTCCTGGCCACCATGAAGTGAGCACCTTTTCTCCTCTGGCCTTCCCACCATGTGATTTCTGTATTGAGGACAACAGGCTAAACAACGGAGTGAGTTAAAACTCACTAAAACTGAGTTAAAATAAACCTTTCCTCTTTTAGTTTGTGGCTATTAGGTATCTTGTCCTAGTAATGAGAAAGTGACTAATATAACCTCAGGTAATTGGTAATTCTTTGTAAACCAATAGAAAAGTAGCTAATAAAGGAGAGCTTAACATGTAATATTCATTCCAGTACTAAAAGTATTACAGTATGATACCATTCTTACAGAACTTCAAACCAAGTAAAACTCAGTGACACACTATTTGGAGATATACACACATATAAAAATAGTGAAAAGGAAAAGCCATAAACTTAATACACAAACTAGAGGATGGTAGTTACTGTGGGGGGAAGGATAGCAGCAGAGGAACATGCAGGCCTGAAGTGGTCTAATTCTTAAGTCAGGTAGTGTTTTATTACTGGGCTTTGAAAGTACATATGAGTTACATATTAATGATATACATTTTACATATTAAAATGCTAAAATTTTAATGATCAGCAAAAATATGTGCTTAACTGCATATAAGAAACTAGAAAACACTGTACAATTCATTAAAAATTAAAATTTCTGTACACAATATTTTAATTTTTGTATGTAATGAATATGATTTGTGTGTTTAGGACATTAACATAGGGGCTTAAATACGAGAGTGCTTTAAAATTTTTCTTTAACTTTCCAAAATTTTCTAATTTACCACTTTAATCACCAGGAAAAAACTTGAAGAGAATAGATGCTTCTCTGAAAGGCTTCTATACAGTTATTTTGTGGAAAATAAATAAAAATGATTATAATTGTGATATTTAAAAACATAAACATATAAAGTCAAAATACATAGCTTTTGAAAAACTACAACTGAGACTGGATAAAAGCTTTACAATGGTTGCAGAAAGAACGGAAAGATGATAGGTGAAGCTACCTGGATTCCTGAAACAAGTAGCATTAACACATTCCAGTTGTCATCAACTTACAGCGATACACGGGTGACTGTCGCATTGGGTAGTACAAGCTGCTCGATGAGACTGTCTTATGTCACTAGATGGGACAGTCATCACACGTACTTAGGGTGTTTAGTGCTGCCTAGCAATGAGACATATGAATTATGGCCCCATTGTGAGCATGTTAAAAGGAACTATTTAAAATTGTTGGTAGAGCTAGGGATATAGCTGAGTGGCACAGTGCCTGCCGGGCAAATGTGAGGTCATGAGTTCAATTCCCCATAACAAAAAATAAAAAGAAAGAAAGTTGATGGCAGTACAGCATCATTAAATTACAACAAACTTTTATGTAAGTTTTCGTATTTGAGACTCACAAAGGTTTGGATAGGTAAATAGATATTGTCATCCTTTCTTAGTTTCTTCTTCTCTCTTGTACAGCATTATGAGGTTTGCTGACTGGCTGTGGGAGAGGTGTACTTCCCTGTTCAATTGAGGCTGGCTTGGACTGTGATTTTCGTTAGTAAAATGACACTGATAATTACCTACGCAACGTGTCTGTCTACCACCTCTCATCCTCTCCTTCAGCGATGGTGAGGAACTTGTTTTGCTCAGGGTCTTTCAGCCTGGCGCAAAGGTGGAACATGGAACCCTGATGGAGAAAAGTTGCTGCTGAACCGTATCTCAACAGACACAGTGAGGATAATGTGCCTCTGTTTCTGTAAGCCATTGGGATTTCTGGCTTGTTCATGACATAGAAAAACGGACCACATATACATATTTTATAGTGACAAAAATCAAAAAGTAGCTAGGTTAAATAACTTTCCCAATGTCTCATACCTGGAAATAGAAATCATTCCCAAACCAGTGTGTTTTCACTTATTACATAATGCTTTTCTTTGTGATAAAATGAATTGCCAAAGAATTTACAAGGTAAGCTACGAGTTCTTTTTGTTACTTATCAAGTGAGACTATGTGGGTCTACTGGTCACCTATTCTGAGGTACTCTAAAGTATGTCCAGGAAGCATCATTTTCTCCTCTCTACTGAAGATGAAGTTTTATCTAGTCTTGCATATTTTCTATTTCTATGGGTTCAGAAGACTACTATGATAAATAGCTGATTAACTTTCTGGTTCTTTTTTCAAAATCTTATGAAAATCTCATCTATAATTCTATTCAAGGATAATTATCAAAGTTATTTTGGCCAAATTCCCTGTGCCACTCCAAATTCTTTAGCAGTAAGTTATATTACATATCTCCCTTTTTCAGAAACTGGAGAATCCTGAAATACCCACAGGTAATGATTTACAGTACACCATGAAACCAAAATGCCGCTGTTAAGGTGACTATAAGGAGGACTATGTAGTTCTCTGTGTTTTACTTCAACTGAGTATCACCTGGCTGCTTTCCTTTGTGTACATATGTACACTGTGTTTCTTTGGATCTCTAACTCAGTATTTAAAGTGTTTTCTGAAAATACTAAGGAAAGAGAGATTAAATCATGAGCTAGGGGTGGTAAGTAGAATGTATATCTGTGTAATAAATTTTATTAATTTATAATTTAAAGCATGTCAAATTCTTTTAAAAAACAAACAAGTGAGTTTGAGCTTCTTTATGTATATAAAGGCACAATGCTAAAAAACTCCTGATAGAAAGGAGATTGAGGAAAACCCATGCTAAACCACGGCTGATCCTAAGAATTTACAAGATCCTTTTTGTTCTTTCTTTAGAAAGCAGAGCCCCAGGACTCTGCAATATCTGGAATCACTACTACAAAAATGATACTTCTGTTCTGCCATCAACACTACCTTTCTCCTTCATTCTTACTACCACTCCTCTAATTGTGTTATGAATAATTAGCAATGAAATCTTAATTAAATGTTGTTATAATTTTATTTCAGTGACTATAAAATATTTATAATGGCTTTAATAGGCTAATAGGTTCCATTTAAAATAAGGCAAAAAACTCATTTTTTTTCATTAATTTGTTTCAATTCAGAATTCACTTTCTCCAAGAATTTTCAAGATCAACCTAAAGTATGGGGAAGAAATTTTGTATCTCACTGGGTAATAACCTGAGGTTGATTTTTATGCTGTCATCATTAAATGTAAGCAATCAAAGTCTTTTTTTATAGACTTTCCATTGCATCAAGCAACTTTATTCATTTTTTTTGTCTCTCAATTTCACTAAGAAGCACAAGAAATTTTGATAACTTCCCATTAAAAGTCTGCATTTAAATATGTTTTTTATTTGATTTTTTTGATAAAGTACAGAGAGTAGTAACTCTTGCAGTTTCTAATGTACCACTGTGACAGTGAATGATCTAGATAATCTTGTTAGAACTATCTATAAAACAACAGTAAATTCTAAAGAAGGATTTATGGGACTTTCCCACAATAAAATACACGCCTTTCAGTACAGTACTTTTTTGTGTGACATTTATTTTGGCTAGTCAGAAATATTTCCTAACTCCTTTCTCTGGTATAGGGTAGTACCTCAAGAGTCATATCTATTCCAGGATCCTTTTAAATCTAATAATAACTACAATGTTAACATTCATAAAATACTTATTAGCATGTGTTAAGAACTGATACAATCATCATATATAATTATTTTAAAAATTCTACTAAGATGAAGAAAAAATTTAGCTACTTTGAAGTAGATGGTCCACGATCACAAGGTAGCCCTGTAATAAAGCACAAACTTCCAAGAACTGTACCATTAACACCATTTCTTTGTAGTAAAATCTAACCAATATTATAAAGGGATAACATTAATTTAATTTGTTCTACAGAGTCTGGATCTTAAATGTTCCCCCGAGGCCCACATGGTGGAGACTTGGCTCAAGATGGGCACTAAAGGGAGAAACCTTAAGTTAGGGCACAGTGGGAGGTCTGTGGGCCTATAGAGGCACATTTTCCAAGGGATGGCAGGATCTTAGTCTCTTTCATGTCGCTTTCTGTCCTTCACGTCCCAGCTCAGGTGAGCTGTGTTGCTCTGCCAACCATTACCCACATGCTCAAAACAGTGGGACAAACCAGCTGTGGACTGAAACCTTCAAAACTGGGAGCTAAAACAAATGCTTTATCTTTTTTTTAATTAAAAAAATTAAAAGAAAGAAGGAGATTAAGATAAAAGAGGACATAACAACATAATAACACAGGTCAGAACAGAACAATTTAAGCCACATAGTGTTTCACCACAAGATAACCCAACGTAACAGTAGCTACCATAGTGTCTTTTTCCTTGAAATATTTGAGTGTAACTTTGTATATTATAGCATCAGACACAATATGACAATGTAAAACCATTCAAGAGAATGAAAGTATTACAGGGTATTTAGAACCAACTAACAGAAAAACAATGGTTTCCATATTATCTCCTTGTCCATAAAAATTTTTGTTTATACTATCACATATAATAAAATCCAATAAGATACAACATGATAAACCGACGGAGACTGAAGAACAAAAGCTTCATGGGACTTCAAAACAAGATGATACAAATGCTTTATCTTTATAACTTATCTCAGGTTTCTGTTACAGTAGCAGAAAGCTAAAATGTCTTGTAATGCTTGAATTTTTAGAAGAATAAATTTATATGTTAATCATAGTAGATGAATTTAAAATATTCTTAGTATATATACTATTTATGAATTAATTATTTATAAATTTTTATGACAAAACATTCAGAATCAGACAGCTTCATCAGTGTCTAGATGTTCTAAAACTCCATGCTGTCATGGGAGGGGGTTTTGAAGGTGTCTGGATTAAGATGCATGAATATGGATTAAGAGTGTGACACTACAATTGAGGGTATGATGCTGGGATTAAGGGTGTGGATTATGGATCTGCTATCCTGGGTGGGCTGGCACCACCCAAAAGGGTTGCATCCTCCGTGGGATAAAAAGGGGAAAGGTAGGCTCTGTTGCTGCTGCTGCTGCTGTTTCGCTGCCTCTGCGTACCCTGCCATGCCACGGACGGATTCTCCTCTGTGATGGCCCTATGCCATGCCAGCTTGCCTGGGAACCAGCCAACTATGGACTGAAACTTCTACATATTGTGAGCTGAAATAAACTGATCCTTTAACTTTGCATGTTGGGTATTTTGCCTTAGCAAGAAAAGTAAGACATATACTACTGCAATATTCCAGAGAAAAAGTCCAACCATGCCATGTCTTTACTCTGTATGCACAGAAGATCTGCAGACTCTGCTTACCCTTGGCACCAAGAAGCAACTGAACAGTCTGTCCTGACTAACTTGGCCTGCAAAGGCCCTGGAAAGTAACTGTGCCCCAACCCCTCCATTGACAGCCACACAAAGGCCCCTGTGCAGAGTGTGAACATTGACAAGTGCCCTGCCAAAGACCACCAGTGTAGCCTGTTCCCTGTGTTGGTTTCATTCACTGATGAACTACTTGTTCTTTTTCCTAGGAAGCTCGTACCTGCCCATCACTGTCAGTGTGGGCTGGCTCCCATTTGACCTCACATACTGTTGGATACCACTGAACCCACCCAAGCATCCCCGCCTGGGCCCACCAGATCAATCTCACCTTTGGGCATCCCTCAGAAACTGATCGGTAGCCCAGCTTCACTGCTGTCCACTACTCCAAGAGTCTCTGACAAATCTGTCCTACCTAAGAGAACTACAATCAAGGGGTAGAGCGATATCACAGATGCCTGCAGATTAGGCCACTGAAATACCTGTTGGCACTGTTAACATCAATTATAGGTGAAGAATATATACAGACACTACACTGCTATGCTTTTCTGCGGCCAAAGCCAATGTATCCTACATAAGTGATAGCTTAGGATACACTGCTAAGAGAAAGTCTTTTACTATGAGAAGCATCTAAGATAGAGACAAATGATCTGCTCAATGCACAAATTTCAATGTACAAACACAGGAAGTAAGCAATAGAAAGTACTGATTCCTCCAAAGGAACACAAAAACTTTCTTGCGATGAACTCTAAAAGAAAAGGAAATCCAATTAATTGCCTGAGAAGGAATACAAAATAATGAATTTAAAGGGAACTCAATGAAATACAAAGAATACAGATGGACAATTTAGTGAAATTAGGAAAACAATTCATAATCTGAATGAAAAATTAGCAGAGATAGAGATCATAAAAAAGAAAACTCAATAAATAAAAAATATAATTGAGAGTCCCCAAAATAGACAAAAATCAAGCAGAAGAAAATTTGAGTTTTAAGGAATGTCTTTGAATTAACCCAGTAGGGGGAGAGGGGAAAGAAGAGGAGGAGGGGAGGAGGAAGAAGAGGAAGAGGAAGAAAAAGAGGAAGAAGAAGAAGAAAAGGAGAAAGAGTGACAAAAGCCTATTGCAAGAGTTACAGGACATTATTAAGCAAATAAATGTTCACATGGATGATGTAGCAGAAGGAGAAGAGAAAAGACATAGAACACTTATTTAATGAAATAATAGCTGAAAACTTACAAACGTGAGAAAGACATGCATGTTCAGGTCTAAGAACTACAAAGGATCCCAATTAGGTCTGAATACAAGAGGTCTCTGAGGCACAGAGTACAAGTAATCAAAATTTGATGAAAAATATAAAAGAGCAGAAAAAGATATAAAGTTATATATGAAAGAATATTAATAGGCTGATAACAGATATCTTGGCAGAATTCTTACAAGGCAGGAAAGAACAGGGAGATAAATATTATGTATGAGTCCTGAAATCCAAGCACTCCTGGAAGCTGTGGCAGCAGGTTCACAAGTTTGAGCCCAGGCTGAGCAACTTAGTGACTTGGCAGTGGCAGTGATGGGCTTAGATACTCTTTGTTAAGATAAAAATTAAAAATGTCTAGGTACACAGCTCAGTGAAGAGTCCTGAATTCAATGCCAAGGACTAGAAAAGGTTAAACAGTTCTGAATGAAGAAGAAAAAAACCAAATTGGGAACCAAAAATACTAAATC